TTACACCCTGATGCCCCTGTTACCTAGCAGTAAATAGGTACCTGGGTGTTAATCAGCTGTCACGGGCTACTTCCTGGGGGGTGGAGGCCTGGTCGAGGACCGGGCCGCGGGGATACTAAACCCCGAAATCATCTCAAGATAACCACCTGCATTAAACTTTCACCTGCCTCTCGTGGTGTCTTAATAGTCTTAGTAGCACTCACTAAGTAGTCTTAATATAATTGCGTTCACTTTGAAATTCTTTATGAAAAGCTTAAGTACTTTTAGTGAGCTCCATATGGTTTCTAATTAATTTTTTTTCGCTTAAATTATACTTTTATCCGATCAACTTACCTCAGAATTTACGGTGAATTATTTCAGGAGCTCTGGATAAAGAATTAGCAGCGCCTCGTATCAAAGCTTATACCCTCTAAGATGCAGTCCCTTTAATTTTCACCGTTTTCTAGTTCTACTTTTTCTCTGCTAGATTTGTATATATTTCTAGCTTTCACTGTGACCTTTGTCTGCAGGGGAGACTCATCTTCACCCTCTTTACTTCTCTGTGGTTGTAAAGTGTGGTTTATTCTCTCTTTCACTCTGTTATTCCAACCCGTCGTCCTAAAGTGAGACGACTTCCTTACAATTACACAACGTAACTGTCCTTATTGTTCCGCTTGTTACAACTTGAAATAAAGTTGTTACAACTTGAAATAAAGTTGTTACAACTTGAAATAAAGTTGTTACAACTTGAAATAAAGTTGTTACAACTTGAAATAAAGTTGTTACAACTTGAAATAAAGTTGTTACAACTTGAAATAAAGTTGTTACAACTTGAAATAAAGTTGTTACAACTTGTTATATCGTCTTCATGACGTATTTGAACGTTGTTACAACTTGTTAAGTGTTAAAACTTGTTCTAAAGTTGTAGCAACGTTGTAGTTTCGTCGTGTGTTTGGAGGGTTTCCGTAGCGATGTGGTCTGCTGTATAAATGTATCGTGATGAACCAATAGAAAGTTTACTTTTGTAAAATTGAATTTGAACAGGAAAAAGAGTATTATATTTGTTTGTAAACTCTAACCTAACCATCCTAAGATTAATACAAGATATCTGAGGCCAAATATAGTACATATGTGTACTGTGCCTGAGGAAAATTTTTGTTATTGATTAATTTTATTTTTTTCAGGCGAAAATTTTTCAGAGTGAAAATCTCGGCTCATTCAATGATAATCTTATGCTAATGGCTCTATGTAGCTCTCTGTATCACGTGTTTTGTATATCAATTGCTACGTTCTTGGATCAATTTCGTCAACCAAATTAAAAATTGACTGTTGTTGTTGTTAAAAATTCGCTACCTGGAACAAAAAGTTCCAAGTAGCACGGGCTATGGTGAGCCCGTTGAAAATTGACTTATTACACTGTAGCAAGGCCCTGCTAATTACCGTATCCACGTGGAAATTTTCTTAGCATTAGCCTTAATGTTTTTTCCCCTTCCGACACCGTAGTCATCCGTTAAAATTTAGGTGAACTGCATCCAAGAATTTAACAACTATCTTGTGTGTCAAAAGATAGTTCACCAAGCCACACATTAGAAAGTGAAGCGAAGCGATGTTTCGATCCGTCCTGGACCATTTTCAAGTCAAGTCACAATCGACTTGAGAATGGTCCAGGACGGACCGAAACGTCGTCGTCCCTTCACTTTCTAGTGTGTGGTCTGGTCAACATATTTCAGCCACGTTATTGTGACTCCTCGTCTGAAGAAGATAGTTATATCAGGTTGGCAAAATGCTATTACGCTCTTGGGCAAAATACCTTAAAACTAGGATTCACACCAATCCTAGTTTCAGTCCTAGCTTGGGGAGTATAAATGAACTCTTTAAGTCGACTTCAGGTAAACTAACAGATTAGTTTCACACAGTGAGGGATCCAGTATGTTCAGTAGAACTTCGGTTTCATCTCTTTTTTTTTTTTAACCCTGTCGTAGCTCAGTCGATTAAGGCAGTGTCTGGGATGCTCCCGGACGCAGGTTCGAATCCTCGTCACGGCCCTTCTGGATTTGTTCATTTAACTGACTAGTCTTAGAGAAGTGTGTGTGTGTCACTAAACGAGGATCATCACCTTTATCCTGATAAAAACAACAAAAAAGAGAAAATTTGGTAAATAACTTAATCAAATATGTAGGATAAAGTAAAAATTAAAATTATAACTGCAAAAATATCTAGAATAATAATAAAAATAATAATCTAGGATAAAAACCCACTCTTGTGTATTTTTTAATTTATGAAAAGAATTTACACACATAATTTACACTTGGTGTAAATTTTTTTACATAAATTTCATAAATACGCATGTGGATTTTTATGCTATGTTATTAAGTCTGTGAGAAGACATTACTATTACTTTATAATAATAATTATGACAGCCTATTTCCCTATTTCAATTAATAATAATAATTATGACAGCCTATTTTTTGCAGTTTCCCTATTTCATAGGGAAATGAAAAGTATATTAACTTAAACAGCCGGCCGAGCGGACAGCACGCTGGACTTGTGATCCTGTGGTCCTGGGTTCGATCCCAGGCGCCGGCGAGAAACAATGGGCAGAGTTTGTTTCACCCTATGCCCCTGTTACCTAGCAGTAAAATAGGTACCTGGGTGTTAGTCAGCTGTCACGGGCTGCTTCCTGGGGGTGGAGGCCTGGTCGAGGACCGGGCCGCGGGGACACTAAAGCCCCGAAATCATCTCAAGATAACCTCAAGATAACCTCAAGATAACCCAAATTCCCCTCTAACATACACAACACTACGAATCATAACTCGCTTTCTCACGTATACAAAAGGTTGTAATATTGGGCTTAATAGTGTAAACATTGCATTGGGTTAGATAAAAGCATTGTCAATTACAGATGTGTATTACAGCCTTTAACAACACATGTCAATTAACCTGGCGTAAATACACCTGTGTCCCGGCACTATGTCTATCACAGCAATTTATTCTGGATATTGTATTAGGGTGTATTTTGTTGCCACTTTAAATGATTCATTTTTCCCACACATTGAATAATTGCACATTTTATGAACAACTTTTATTGAATATTTCAATTATCTTTTAATAATTTGTGAGTTAGAAAATTCACTATATACAAGTCTTACATTTCTCACATAAACTCACACACACCTGCTACAGATGACCATTAACCTACAGACCTTTGAGCGAACATTTCAATTCATGAACCAAGCTTGTTATTGCAACTTGGTGAACCCTACCCGATTGTTTCGGGCGCGGGTTGGACAAGTATATGAGTGGGATTGGGTGGTTATAGATAGGAGCTGCCTCGTATGGGCCAATAGGCCTTCTGCAGTTACCTTTGTTCTTATGTTCTTATGTTCTTATGTTCTTATGTTCTTATGTTCTACCTGCACCAGCACCTTTCAACACCTACCCAGAACACTTCCCAAGGCAATATTGCAGCCCCATCAACCATCCAATGGAATACCATTATCAGAAAAGGTGTGAGATAAAACGTTATTTCAAATACGTTGATTAATGGAGATAAGGGAGATAAGGATTCTGGTCGCTGTCTTGGGTAACAACGTTGTTTTTCTGGCGTGAATTGCTGTGTGTCGACGACCGGGCCGCGGGGACACTAAGCCCCGGAAGCACCTCAAGGTAAGGTGTCACTTTGATGGCCACTTTGGCGTCAACTGGAGCGAACACACACCCACTCGTGACCAGTAACACCGTCGTAACACTAATGGAAACAGCGATGTGGGATGGGATCTCCCTATACAGGCATTCGCGCCATCGGGGATGGCTGATGGCGCGAAAAGTACGGTCAAGATTGTCATATTTGGTGTTGACGTCGGTCAAACCAGCCCCGTCTGAGGGAATGGGAACTGTGAGGTTAGCTGTGTGTCTTTAGGCTAGCTGTGTGTGTCTTCAGGCAAGCTATGTGTCCTCAGGCAAGCTATGTGTCCTCAGGCAAGCTATGTGTCCTCAGAGCAAGCTGTGTGTGTCTTCAGGCAAGCTATGTGTGTCCTCAGAGCTAGCTGTGTGTGTCTTCAGGCAAGCTATGTGTGTCCTCAGGCAAGCTATGTGTGTCCTCAGGCAACCTATATGTGTCCTCAGGCAAGCTATGTGTCCTCAGGCAAGCTATGTATCCTCAGGCAAGCTATGTATCCTCAGGCAAGCTATGTATCCTCAGGCAAGCTATGTGTGTCCTCAGGGCTAGCTATGTGTGTCCTTAGGCAAGCTATGTGTCCTCAGGCAAGCTATGTGTCCTCAGGCAAGCTATGTATCCTCAGGCAAGCTATATGTGTCCTCAGGCAAGCTATGTGTGTCCTCAGGCAAGCTATGTGTCCTCAGGCAAGCTATGTATCCTCAGGCAAGCTATATGTGTCCTCAGGGCTAGCTATGTGTGTCCTCAGGGCTAGCTGTATGTGTCTTCAGGCAAGCTATGTGTGTCCTCAGGGCTAGCTATATGTGTCCTCAGGCAAGCTATGTGTCCTCAGGCAAGCTATGTGCCCTCAGGCAAGCTATGTATCCTCAGGCAAGCTATGTATCCTCAGGCTAGTCTCGTGCAGGCAGTAACAGACAAGAGAGAGTTCCCACCTACTAACAGCACTCTCAAACCTCAAACACGCGTCGTAACCAGCTACGGGATCACCATAGCCCGTGCTACTTGGAACTGTTTGTTCCAAGTAACGAATCTTTAACAACATCAACAACGTCGTAACCCCAGAGCAGTAAAGATGGTGTCTGACACAGCTACGACCTCCTGAAGTGAAACTACTTTCGTGTAACTATTGTGCTGAAACTTCCGATAAGATGTTGAAACTGAAACTTTCAATAAGATGTTGTGTCGAAACTTCCAATAAGATGTGATGGACCAGCAGATAGACTTTTGTACTATTAATGTTATTGTCATTAGATTGTAAAGCTGAAATAACACATTTTATTCAGTTTTTTCTATTAAAATTATAGATTACAATATTTATTTTAATTCATTTATTTTCATTAATGTACTATTTCAGCCCCAAGATAGCGTGTGGTTCTAGTATAACTGGTTCTGGTATAATTAGTTCTGGTATAACTGGTTCTGATATAACTGGTTCTGATATAACTGGTTCTGATATAATTGGTTCTGGTATAACTGGTTCTGGTATAACAGATTCTCGTATAACTGGTTCTGATATAACTGGTTCTGATATAACTGGTTCTGGTATAACTGGTTCTGGTATAACTGGTTCTGGTATAACTGGTTCTGGTATAACTGGTTCTGGTATAACAGATTCTGATATAACTGGTTCTGATATAACTAGTTCTGATATAACTGGTTCTGATATAACTGGTTCTGGTATAATTGGTTCTGGTATAACTGGTTCTGATATAACTAGTTCTGGTATAACTGGTTCTGATATAACTGGTTCTGATATAATTGGTTCTGGTATAACAGATTCTCGTATAACTGGTTCTGATATAACTGGTTCTGGTATAACTAGTTCTGATATAACTAGTTCTGATATAACTGGTTCTGGTATAACAGATTCTCGTATAACTGGTTCTGGTATAACTGGTTCTGATATAATTGGTTCTGGTATAACAGATTCTCGTATAACTGGTTCTGATATAACTGGTTCTGGTATAACTGGTTCTGGTATAACTGGGTCTGGTATAACTAGTTCTGATATAACTGGTTCTGGTTTAACAGATTCTCGTATAACTGGTTCTGATATAACTAGTTCTGGTATAACTGGTTCTGATATAACTGGTTCTGATATAATTGGTTCTGGTATAACAGATTCTCGTATAACTGGTTCTGATATTACTGGTTCTGGTATAACTGGGTCTGGTATAACTAGTTCTGATATAACTGGTTCTGGTATAACAGATTCTCGTATAACTGGTTCTGGTATAACAGATTCTCGTATAACTGGTTCTGGTATAACTGGTTCTGATATAACTGGTTCTGGTATAACTGGTTCTGATATAACTGGTTCTGGTATAACTGGTTCTGATATAACTGGTTCTGGTATAACTGGTTCTGATATAACTGGTTCTGGTATAACTGGTTCTGATATAACTGGTTCTGGTATAACTGGTTCTGATATAACTGGTTCTGGTATAACTGGTTCTGATATAACTGGTTCTGGTATAACTGGTTCTGATATAACTGGTTCTGATATAACTGGTTCTGATATAACTGGTTCTGATATAACTAGTTCTGGTATAACTAGTTCTGGTATAACTAGTTCTGGTATAACTGGGTCTGGTATAACTAGTTCTGGTATAACTAGTTCTCGTATAACTGGTTCTGATATAACTTGTTCTGGTATAACTGGTTCTGGTATAACTGGTTCTGATATAACTGGTTCTGGTATAACTAGTTCTGGTATAACTGGTTCTGGTATAACTGCTACTGGAACTAGAGAACTTTTGCCGCTGCTTCCAAACTGATTTTATTTGCTGTACAATTTTTTTGTTTCCAAAGAAACTGAAAAACAAATTGAAGTAAAAGTTTCGGACGACAAAAAGGAGAAACAGAGGAAACTGCGACGATATTTCAGGGCAGCGGGTCTTTGTTTCTCGAGCCCTTGACGGCCGGTGATCCCGCAGCCGCCAAGTGCGAACGATTTAGTTATCAGGGGTGAGGAGTTGGCGCTTCAGTGTGTGTGTGGGGGGTGTGTGGGGGTGGGGGTGGGTGTGTGGGGGTGGGGGTGGGTGTGTGTGTGTGTGTGTGTGTGTGTATTCATCTAGTTGTGCTTGGAGGGGTTGAGCTCTGGCTCTTTGGTCCTGTCTCTCAACTGGGACCTTTTATAGTGTGTGTGTGTGTACTCACCTAGTTGTACTCACCTAGTTGTGTCTGCAGGATCGAGCATTGACTCTTGGATCCCGCCTTTCGAGCATCGGTTGTTTACAGCAATGACTCCTGTCCCATTTCCCTATCATACCTGGTTTTAAAATTATGAATAGTATTTGCTTCCACAACCTGTTCCTGAAGTACATTCCATTTTCCCACTACTCTCACGCTAAAAGAAAACTTTCTAACATCTCTGTGACTCATCTGAGTTTCAAGCTTCCATCCATGTTCCCTCGTTCTGTTACTATTCCGTGTGAACATTTCGTCTATGTCCACTCTGTCAATTCCTCTGAGTATCTTATACGTTCCTATCATGTCCCCCCTCTCCCTTCTTCTTTCTAGTGTCGTAAGGCACAGTTCCCTCAGGCGCTCCTCATACCCCATCCCTCGTAGCTCTGGGACGAGTCTCGTTGCAAACCTCTGAACCTTTTCCAGTTTCATTATATGCTTCTTCAGATGGGGACTCCATGATGAGGCGGCATACTCTAAGACTGGCCTTACGTAGGCAGTGTAAAGGGCCCTAAATGCCTCCTTACTGGAGGCATTTAGGCCTTAGGAGGCCTTACTGTGTGTGTGTGTGTGTGTGTGTGTGTGTGTGTGTGTGTGTGTGTGTGTGTGTGTGTGTGTGTGTGTGTGTGTGTGAGCCAGGCTCCAAGCCCTGCCTTATTTTATCACATTTACATTTAGCATTTTTACTCGCATATATAAGGTTCAACGACTTCTCCATCTTACCTATTCCATTTATTGACTGCTCTGACACCGAAATAGGTCTTCTTGATGTCTCCAAGACTCATATGCTTCTCCAATTTCCATTTAATCCATTGTCCTGCTGTTCCTTGATTTGAAGAAAGCTGCTTTGTCTACTTTGTTAATTTCCCTTAGAATCTAAGGGAAATTGGAAATCCCCCCCCCCCCCGCCATCTCTCCTTTCCTTCAGTGTAGTACGGTCCAGATCTCTGTCTTTCCTCATAGCTCATTCCCCTTAGCTCCGTAACCAGTGCCGTTGCATATCTTTGGACCTTTTATAGTTTCTGCTTTCTCTCATCCTTTGGTATTCCTTCGGAGGAATATGATTTGTATTTTTTCATTATATTTTGCAGTTGGCTCCGCAAGAATTTCATCATTTGTGGTCTCGTTCATGAACTCTCTCTTTATAAATCGATCTGTTTTCTGTTTGTAATACCCTGGAAACCTTCTTTTATACTTTAGCCACCTCCATCTGTATATTTTTTTCAGAATCTTTGTCAATGCAGATCTGTCTTTAGCTGTCCACTCTTTATGACTGGAGCAGCCTTGGTCCTTAATACCTACTATGATTACAGCTTTTTTCCTTTCCAGCAGCTGACTAGTGTACCATTACACTCAGAGATCACACTAACGTGATGCATCAAATAACTAGTGCACCTTGCTGCTTCCTGGGAAGCTGCTGTGTTCATGACAACTTTACTCACTGTGGACATGGCTTATGGCCTGCTAACATTTCTGTAAATGTGACTTCAACTTTAGAAGTCCCTTCCATTATTATTTTCCAGGTTGCTTCGGGGGTTGGTTGTCTGGAACTGATCATTAGTAGGGTTCTCTTTGAAGCTTTTGATCTCCTTCTTTGCATCTCTCAGCTCACACTGTAGGCTGCTTGTTGGTTCCCTCGTATATTTGAGTTCATTACTGATTTCCCCCCTAGATCATGTCCTTAAATGACTCGCCCTGTCTCTCTCTCCCTCCACCTATGCTCTGGTCTTATGTTGCTCCGCTTCCATGAGAGAGAGAGAGAGGTGAGAGAGAGAGAGAGAGAGAGAGAGAGAGAGAGAGAGAGAGAGAGAGAGAGAGAGAGAGACAGACAGACAGACAGACAGACAGAGAGAGGTGAGAGAGAGGTGAGAGAGAGAGAGAGAGAGAGAGAGAGAGAGAGAGAGAGAGAGAGAGAGAGAGAGAGAGAGAGAGAGAGAGAGAGAGAGAGACAGACAGACAGACAGAGAGACAGACAGACAGAGACAGAGAGAAAGAGACTGGGAGAAAGGACATAGTGCTGAGAATGAAGGAAATGCTAAAAAAGCTACAAAAACCAAAAGAAAAAAGAATAATATAGAGGAGCCAGAACTATTTTTTTCCCCCCCTAATATTACTGTAAAATTGTCATATATCCATATTTGCTGTAGTGTTCACTAACAATATTGTTGCTGGCAAGACCGTAAGTCAAGTGAATATTAGTAACGCAGAGAAGGGCAACATTCAGGACTTAATAGTGTGTAATCCTCTGAAGCTGGGAAAGCTGCCCAGACGCCCTGATTGTTGGTGCAGAGTTCCTGGAGCGGGAGAGAGGGAGAGAGAGAGGGAGAGAGAGAGAGAGAGAGAGAGAGAGAGAGAGAGAGAGAGAGAGAGAGAGAGAGAGAGAGAGAGAGAGAGAGAGAGAGACGGAGAGAGAGAGAGAGAGAGAGATAGAGAGAGAGAGAGAGAAAGAGAGAGAGAGAGAGAGAGAGAGAGAGAGAGAGAGAGAGAGAGAGAGAGAGAGAGAGAGAGGGAGAGAGAGAGAGGGAGAGAGAGAGAGAGAGAGAGAGAGAGAGAGAGAGAGAGAGAGAGAGAGACAAAGAGAGAGAGAGAAAGAGAGAGAGAAAGAGAGAGAGAGAAAGAGAGAGAGAGAGACAAAGAGAGAGAGAGAGAGAGAGAGACAAAGAGAGAGAGACAAAGAGAGAGAGAGAGAGAGAGAGAGAGAGAGAGAGAGACAAAGAGAGAGAGAGAGAGAGAGAGAGAGAGAAATGGAACGGAAGAAAGAGAAAATGAATGGTAAAAAGTATCTAGTTGACTGAATCTTTTCCCACACTCGGGACACTCATAAGGTTTTTCACCTGTATGCTGTTACGTAAAGATGTTCGTCGTATTATATCGTCGCATCGAGATAGGAGTTGTAATACTAAAGAGTAATGTTCCCGCTTAAATTGTTGTAGGGAGAACGAGGTGTAACGACCATGATGGTTGTTAACTACCGGCGTGGCTCGTCCGGTGGCGGGAATTCTGACGACCAATCAGAACCTCCGGACGAGGCACTAAGCACCAATAGAAACTCGGGCAAAGTAGAACTCTAATTTCGTACCATCCCGTCAACTAGGTATCGTGTGTGTGTGTGTGTGGCCAGTCTTACCTGTGCTGTGTGTCAGTGTGCTCCGCTCTCTCCATCAACAACAACATCAGGGTGTAGCCGGAGGTAAACGCCGAATGTGGTCTCGGAAATCTATTCCGACTCCAGTCCACTACGGGCTCGCCATAGCCCGTGCTACTTGGGACTTTTTGTTCCAGGTAGCGAATCTTAAACAACAGCAACATACTGACTCCATGACATGGTGAGAATATTTAGCCGTCTAAAGAGTTAGATGATTTCTCCTGACGGGTAAGAGTGAAGTATATTAAACCGTCATTGAGGTTTAGTTTTTAGAGAGTTATGAGAACTCTCTGATTGGCAGTATTGGAACCAGTCAGAAGTGAATGGTTCTGAAGTGAGCTGACATGAGTGACAGTCATCTCATTATCATTGTTTCTTGACTTGTGTGTGTGTTTATGTATATGTGTATATGTGTATGTATATGTATTCACCTAGTTGTATTCATCTAGTTGTGCTTGTGGGGGGTTGAGCTCTGCTCTTTCAGCCCGCCTCTCAACTGTTACTAACTACCCTCCCCCCCCCCCACACACACAGGAAGCAGCCCGTGACAAATGACTAACTCCCAGGTACCTATTTACTGCTAGGTAACAGGGGCATTGGGGTGTATGTATATGTGTGTATATGTAGATATATGTATGTACATGAATGTATTTGTAAGTATATGTATGTATATGAATGTATATATGTGTGAACGTATATGAGTGTATGTATGTGTTTATATATGTAGGTGTGTGTATGTATGTGTATATGTATGTGTATATGTATGTACATGAATGTGTATGTATATGTGTGTGTGTATGTATATGTGTCTATATATAAGTATATGTATGTATATGTATTTGTGTGTGTATGTATATGTATGTATATGTTTGTATATGTAGATGTATGTATGTATGTACATAAATGTATGTGTGTATATGTCTGTGTGTGTATGTATATGTATCTATATGTAAGTATATGTGTGTGTATGAATGTATATGTGTGTGTATGTATGATTATGTATATGTATGTTTGTATATGTAAGTATATGCATATGTATATGTGTATACGAATGGATATGTGTATGTATATGTACCCACAATCTGGAAAGTTTAACAGGGTTCCAGAATAGTGAATACGTATTACGATGCGAGTGAATTTAAACATGGCAGCTTAGTATCAGCCCTTAAGGCCTATTGCTGTGTGTTCGAATTGTTCTGTTTAGGCACGACATTATCCATATCCGTCTCGGGTATATCATGGACAGACATATCAGACAAAGATATGACGGGTCCAGTTAAATATGCGACTAGGCAGGTAATCGATGATGGCAGATGGTGGTATGCAAAATGACTCTTTTTTTTTTTTTTTTCATTTGGAATTTCTTAAATGAGTTTTTGAACCAGTGAGTTCTTGTTTGGGGCATTATTTTGGTGGGTTGTTGTTGTTGTTAGAGATTCGCTACCTGGAACAAAGTTGCAAGTAGCACGGGCTATGGTGAGCCCGTAGTGCCTTTTTTTTTTTTTTTTTTTTGTGGGGGGTGGGGGGTGGGGGAGGATTGAGTGTTTGGGTTCTGTAATGTCTTCGTTTTCTTTCCTTAATTCTCAATGTTACAAAATATTTTTTTTCTATCTTATCTCTTCACGTTCTGTGAATCCGTCGCGTTTTCCTAGTTTTCTCTCGTTCTTGTTCTTGCTTATCCTTATTCCCTTGTTTAATCCCCCACCGCCTCTTATTCCTCCCTCCCACTTTCTGTTTCTCTCTATTCCACGTCCTTCTCCCTCCCTTCTCTATCCCACATCCTCTTCTGTCATCTTTCTCCTCTTATCATTCACTTCTCACTCCTCCTCCTCTTCCAAGGCTCCCTAATCCACACCTCGATCAATCTTGTTTCGTCAGAATTTGCCGCTTGAGTAGCAGAAATGTGATGCCTTCTCAGAATCCTTCCCCGAGAAAGTTTTAAGATGCGGGTGATCGAGCACGTCTCTGGCCTCACTACCTGCTGAAATTGTAGTTTTTTTTCCACCCCGTCGCTACGTTCATTTATCATATTGATTCGCGAAGGTTTGGTCCCCAAAGGGAGTTATGAATTTTGGCTTTGAGGGATAGGGAGCCAAGCAGGTCAAGAGAGAGAGACATTTTCTCCTTATATTTGAGGTTACCTGGAGTTGCAGATTCTCTGATCTCTGTTCTCCTTGATATCTGCTCAGATGAGATCATTAAGCATCCTGGATGCTCTCCTCATCTCCCGGCTGGTAGGATAAAGTTATAAGTAACACCTCAAGCTGTAGTGATGAAAAGGTAGATATGAGTTTTTAGATTTTTCGAATTCCTTCGAATTGCAGGCGATGAGTCACAATAACGTGGCTGAAGTATGTTGACCAGACCACACACTAGAAGGTGAAGGGACGACGACGTTTCGGTCCGTCCTGGACCATTCTCAAGTCGATCCTGGTATTACCGCCTCGGTTCCACAAGACCTTGGACCATCTCGGCTCCTCTCAGAGTTATACAACGACCTTGGCAACATTTAAAGATAATTTGGGCTTATTTTTAACTAGACAAATTATGTTCGAGATCTGTTATTTAAGATGCTGCATCATTGTTTTTGAGTTAAGATGGCGTCTCAGAGAGCATTATTAAGAACGTACTTGTTCGAAGCACTCGTTAGTCTCGACCAATGAGGTGTAAGGTAACACGTGGCGCTCTTTGATTGGCCCAAATATCAGATAAAAGCTCCAATGGCCTTGATTTTTTACTACCTAAATGGTTTAATATTTTCCAGTGCAAATAAATGTACTTGAAAATTTGGAGACTGGGATTACAAAGATTGATCAGTTGATGTATTGGGTTAGCGATTGATTGATTGATGACGTTCGATGGACCCTTCAAGATTGAAGGGTCCATCGAGGGTTCACAATCGACTTGAGAATGGTCCAGGACGGACCGAAACGTCGTCGTCCCTTCACCTTCTAGTGAGTGGTCTGGTCAGCCTACAAGATTGCCTTGTTTGTGATCTGTAGAGCCATTAAGAGTGCAAACTAGGAGTCGACATGGGACGAACTGACAAAGTAGGGATGATCTGGATCTTCTAGCACCTCGTTACAAGGTGATTACTACCAAACCAGCAACTACTCTCTACCACTACTGCTCTGACTGCCTAGTACTGTATACAGAGGCAGGGTAGATACGGTATACCCATAGACCAGTTGCTCTACCGTGACGAATCTACCGGTACTCATTGTAGAATTTAAAGGGTTTTCTAAGATGTATTTGCCTGTTGACCTCTGCCAAAAGGGTCGTCTGAGACGCCAGGTGAGGCGGAGGAGCAGTGAGGGCAAGTGAGGGAGAATCAGTGAGAGAAAGTGAGGGAGAATCAGTGAGAGAAAGTGAGGGAGAAGCAGTGAGATAAAGTGAGAGAGACTGTTACGACGGGAGTGAGAGGCGACGAGATACAGTAGATGATCACACACAGAGATCACACTAACGTGATGCATCAAATGAACAAATCCACAAGGGCCGTGACGAGGATTCGAACCTGCGTCCGGGAGCATCCCAGACACTGCCTTAATCGACTGAGCTACGACAGGGTAAAATTAAGGCAGTGTCTGGGTTGCTCCCGGACGCAGGTTCGAATCCTCGTCACGGCCCTTGTGGATTTGTTCAGTAGATGATACAAGGAAAGACGAGGAGAGACATGTAATCAGAAGATCCATTAGTGAAAGTTGAGTGTGACCGTAAAGATGCTTCTCTACCGTCCACCTGATTGGCCAAACTGGCTCACCGGAAGTGACGTCATGGGTAATGGCCGGGAAAGTGATTTATAACAAATATTCAACTCACAGGTATGATACATGTAGACACCTTTTGTCCCTCTGTCAGGGACAATAGGTCAATCACTTGGTGCTTTCTCATGATTTCTCATGATATCTCATGATGATTTCTCATGATTTCTCATGATATCTCATGATGATTTCTCATGATATCTCATGATGATTTCTCATGATTTCTCATGATGATTTCCTTTTATTTCACACCACCAAGCCAGTGTGACTTTATAGCACATGATAGGGATATCAGGGCAGAATAGGTGGTAGGAGGAAGGAATATGGGAGCGTTTTCCAAACAATTGTACCCTAGGGGATTAATCCCTGATGGTTCAATTGGTACATTATGTCCATTACATCCAGCGGCCGACCCCAAAGACACATCAGTTTTAACATTGTGTTTATTAAAAACAGGCATTTTCTCAACTATAATATTTGATAGTATAAATTGTATGTTTAGCCGTAGGTTAGGCTCGGTACTTGAGTTCTATTAGTAATTATTTGCAACCTATCCTCAGCTTAGGCTCGTTAAAGCGGCGGCCATCCCCCAAGGTTAGGTGTTTAGGTTCTGTTGGCGGTTATTTGTATTTGAAGTACGTGGGGGGGGGGGGATTAATTTACAGCAATTCGAGTAGAGGTCTTCAGCGAAGCACTAAGAAATGATCGAATGTCATCAGTTATGAATCACGTGTAAATTGCTTTTCATTAATAGAGGGTTTGGCGGCTGGATTAACGACCCTTTGACCTTGGTTTATAGTTTTAGCTTTTAGTGTTCTTAATGTTAGTGAAGGTAGCTGGGTTCAAGGTAAGGTAATTATCAGGAGAAACTGCTAAACCAAGCTGGGTACTAAGCTAAACCAAGCTGGGTACTAAGCTAAACCAAGCTGGGTACTAAGCTAAACCAAGCTGGGTACTAAGCTAAACCAAGCTGGGTACTAAGCTAAACCAAGCTGGGTACTAAGCTAAGCTAAACCAAGCTGGGTTCTAAACTAAGCTAAACCAAGCTGGATACTAAGCTAAACTAAACAATGGTGGGTTCTAAACTAAGCTAAACTAGGTTCTATACTAAACCATGCTGGGTACTAAGCTAAACTAAACCAAGCTGGGT